TTTTCTAAATCCCCATAATGAGGGTCCTTTGTTACCAGCTTGTACGCGTCAGTATCGTGGTGTTGCTCTTCCAAAATTCAAAATAATAAACAAAAGCCCTAATAATTGCTGTGGTACTGCTGCCGGACCATTATTCAAATTGAGAATATAGCTTTTTGTGAGCGTTTGCAAGTTCCAGTTGTTATCGGTAAAGAATTTATTAATAAATGCGACTTCTACACTATAACTTCTGAGAGTTCCCGCGTAGGTGTATTTAAAGTTAACAAATTATCAAATCTTAAAATGTGGCAATTGTCAGAAATTACGACAAAATACGTACAGTTGCCGTACAAAACTGGTTACGTTGTACTGTCAATTGCTTCCTCATAGAGGAAGCTTTGTTTTCGTAAATTCGTATATGAACCTTTGATTGCGTATAAAGTTGGCTCTAATTAACCAAATTTAAAAGAATTATATATAAAATAAGGGTAGAAGAAACCAAAGAGAAAAGATTGTTTTTTGAGTTTTTAATGTCAATATGTTCAGAGTGTTTTAAAACGTCGAAATATTGCATTAAAAAAATGTCGGTATGTGTGTATGTACGTCTGTGCCAAATTTACAGAAATATCTATAACTCTAGAACTGATCAACCAAATCTTAACGAATTATATATGAAATAGGGGTAGAAAAGACTGAAGAATATAATAAAATTAATAAAAATTGTTAATAATAAAGGGGTTACCGATTTCTGTTAAAAAAAGGTTTACCGAAATTTTTTAATTTTAATTCTATTTCATATATAATTCTTTAAGGCCGGTATTCATAGTCGGGTCGGTGTTAGAATTAATAAAAATTGCTAATAATCAAGGGGTTCTTTTTAATAAAATTTTGAATTTTTGCAGAAATGTTTGTTTATGCTTTAATTTCCGCAAATTTGGGGCTGTTTTTTTTTTTTTTTAATTAATAGAGTATTATTCAAGGAAGGTCGGTATTGAATTTGGCGATGATCGGTAAAGGGGTTTTTTGCAAGTAGAAACCTTTGCTTACAAAGTTTCCTCTATGAGGAAGCCAAAACAAATAGAGGAAGCTTTGTGAGCAAAGGTTTCTACTTGCACACTTAAAAACTATGAGGAAGCAATGTGCAGGTTTCTACTTGCACACTTTACTTTTTTACATTGTGATACGCTTTAATTAAGATCTTACTATTCTACTTTAATCTATTTTTTTTTCATCTGGTATTGTATATTTCATATTCTATTGTATTTTATATATGAGTCATCGTTGTATGTGACAATAAGGAACACATTACAGGTACAAATAATTCACTTGTAATCATACAATATAAGTTATATACTTGTTTAATTAGGTCACAAACGTGATTATTTTAAACCTTATTGAGGAAGAGTAAATTCATCAAATTATAAATATATATTAGTTGCTTAATTTTGTTTAATCAACATTTATGGATTTATAATAACAAAATTTTACTCAAAATACAATGAAACAAAGAAAATTAGTTTTAATAAATTTAAAAATTAAGATTAATGTAATTAAAGACTATTAATTCTATAATAAAACTAGAATTCTTAAATTATATTTTAGTTTTTTATTGTATAAAATATAATATTACAGAATACCGATCAGAATGTTGTTTATCAAATAAGTTTATGAAATTATAAAATTTTACAAATGTTCTGTTTCTAATATTTTTGCAGAAATAACGAATTATAATAAGCGATTCAATTAATTTGGATACAATTATAAAATATCAAACATGAATGATAACATTTTTTGCGAAAAATCAGTATCTACTGGAAAAATGCATACTGATGATGATGTGGCAAAATAGTCAATTGTCCACTTTGAAACAGATAAAGAAGAAGATGTTGAAAGTTTCAACGATCTTATTCCGTCTTCGTGAATTACGACGACGGGGACATTATGTTGGTATCCTATGACTGAACATCAAGCGACTGTATAGAAATTAGTAAAACAGTGTGCAATGGCTAATTCGGAGTGGAATTGTTTTTCCATCAAGACAATAAAAGAAGACTGTTCGAGATTCCGTTAACGTTGCGCCGTCCGATCAGATGGCAGCATCGATCGGGTATCGACGCCCGATCACCGCGACAGCTGGCGCACGCACGGGCGCGCTCATCGCCAACGTCTTCCTCGCGATATTCAGAGTCGTACAAATGGCCGCGCAGTGATCAGACGCACGACGTGTGCTCTGTGCATTTTCGATTGTGACTACACATCGAAGTGACCACCGCAGTGATTACAACAGCTGCCGAGATACTGCATTAACATGTAAAGCGACCGCTCATCCAGCTCTACTCGGGTACATCACCGACGACTCAGGCTCACATGTGCGCGAGTGCCGATCGCCACGTGTCTCACCGGCTCACGGGCGATTCATCGAAAAGGACGACAATTCATATAATTGCCGCTCATTTACTCAGACTATATATACATCTCATTTTGTTCACCGCTCATCACTCTCAGGTCAGATTGTATCAATTTTGACGCATAAAAGACGCATTAAAGACGGCTCAGACTGTGGTCTGAGTTACACAAAAATAAAGTGAATATTTAGTTAACACCTTCCACGCGCGTCCTTCTCATCCCGCTTCCATCGCCGGGATTAATCAGCGATTTCGCGAACATTTGGTCCTTCGAGCCGGATGCGTGGAACTTAAAGTGTAGCTTGGACACAGATCATGTGAACAGGGCATGCCTTTCACGACATGCCACGTGGACATTATCGCGCGCTTCCGCGAGTGAAGGACAGACATTCTCACGCGCGCTTGTTACGAAAACATGTTCACGCGCTCCCGCGAGTGTAAATAGACATTTTCACGTGCTCAATACATGACATTGTAGACTCTCGATTCGCATAGTGTTTTTCTCACGCGTTTCTCGAACGTTCTCGGTTCGTGCAGCATTTCTTACACGTGTCTCGACATTTCTCAGATATTTCATCGTGCGCAGCTCAGGGACGGCTCAACATGACGGAACCCGCAAAGGCGGGTACGGGCGGTACGAAAATCACGACGCCGCTGCTTGAGGTACCACCGGCTCGCACATCGGAACGCCATGCCTCACCCGTGCGCTTGTCCACGGAGCTCATCCTAAAGGAACCGCCTGGCGACGGTGCGGAATATTGACGACACGCTGCCAACTTGTGCAGAGGACATGCCGTTAGAGGAGGTCATCCAAATCTCAATGCAGCTCGAAGAGGCGAACAAGGCGTTTCTCAAGGAGCATGCATATCTTGAAGCCTCACAGCCGTCGGCGCTCATTTAACAGCAAAGCGCACGTTGACAGCTCAGCATGTGGCAGCTCAACCGGCCCGCACGGCAGCATCTAATTTACCCGTGCAATTGTTGCAACGGCACTCACTTCATTGTGATGTGCACGTAATTTAGGGATCTTTCAACAGGCAATCGACAAAAATTAGTCATACCACGGAGGATTTGGTTCAAATGCCTCGGCCGCCACAACGGCCACTCATGTAAAGGCTCACGGGGGTGCAAGAAGTGCACCAACCGACACGATGCTGCATGAGGCTCATCAGTCGAACTCATCAGCGAAGCCGATCACCAGCTCAACTGCGTCAGCTCAATAGGAAAATGGTGCAATCGTCGCTCACTCATCTTTGGCCCGCTCATTACACTCAACATTACTCGCTACGGCCCTGGCTCAGATCAGCTCATCTGTTCATACTCAATGCGTATGGCTTCTCATCGATTCAGGTTCAGAACTTACATTTGTTTCAGAATCTCTCGCTCGTCAGCTCAACATCACTCGTCATCGTTCCGTCATTCATTACCGGAATTGGTGGCGAAAAAGGCGACGCAAACTCGAGGAGTTGAATGCTTACGCTCCGCTCACCTCACTCAAGATCAGACGTCATTATTCAAGCTCACATTCTGCAGACGTTAACAAACATTCTGCCATCCTTCAACGCTGCACCACAGGAATGGCCGCATCTCACCAAGTTGAACTTGGCTGATCCAGATTTCCTAACACCACGGCCAGTGGATATCATCATTGGAGCTGACTCATATGGGCAGATCATCAAGCCCAACATCATCAAACGAGATACATTGATGCCAATTGCGCAGCTCTCGTTGGATAGCTCGTTCTCGGACCTGTTAATACATCATCATCGGCAATTGCCACCGTGCATCATGCCTCCGTTCGGGAGGGAGAAGATGCTCTTGACGACTTGCTGGCGAAATCTGGATACAAGAAGGAGAGCTTGCGAGCAACAATCTTGATCTTATTCCTGACGAGCAAAGATGTGAAGAACATTTCAAGAGTACTGTTTCACGGGATTCAACAGGTCGATACACAGTTCGACTTACACTGAAATCATCACCTGATACTCTTGGCGATTCGTATCTCACTGCGCATCGATATTTGAAAGGTTTACAAAGAAAACTCTCACGAGATGACAATTATCAACGTCTGTATCATCAGTTTATGATACTCTATCGAGAGCTCAATCACATGAAAAAGGCTTTGCCCGTTTTCAGTCAGCTCACACAATATTTGCCCCATTAAAGAGTGCTCAAACCAGACAGTGCAACCACCAAATTACGTGTAGTATTTAATGGCTCGAGTGCATCTACATCCAGCCGCTCACTTAATGATCTCATGCACACAGGAGCCAAACTGCATTTCGACATCACCGATGTCTTGCTCTGGATTCGACAAGTTCGGCACTTAGTTGCCACTGACATCACCAAAGGGTATAGGCAGATCAACGTGCATGAAGATGACTGAAAGTTACAACGGACTCACTGGATAGATGAACAACTCAATGAAGTGCCATATCATCTAACAACGGTCGATATGTTGATGACAATTCTGGAGGCGACGACACCGTTCAGCAGGTAGTCAATACTGCTCAACGGACTTGTGCATGACGGGCGGCTTCCCATTAGCAAGGTGGCACGCGACTCATCAAGATGTACTCACTGCGGTTCAAGCAGAAAAAGACCAGGGTTCACAAACTACATTGACGATTGCGTAACCAAAAGACTCAAATGGGGCGCTAAGCCCTGTTGCTTAATCAGCACGAGTCGTCCTGGTTCCAATGCTGCTCCCAGGTTCTTCTTCCATTTAGAACGTTCCTGAAGGGAGCTCAAGTATTCCGTGCTCCACTTTCTCCAGAAATGCTGTTGGAGCTGCTGAACTAATTGCCAACGTGTTAATCTATTCTCGCTTACATCGGTTAAATCGGGAGAAGGGATACTGTTGAACGGAGTACCGACCAGAAAGTGACCCGGTGTGAGGGGGGTCAGATCATTCGGATCATTACTTAATTGAGTGAGAGGCCGCGAGTTTAGAATTGCCTCTATTTCGCAAAGCACGGTCGTCATTTCCTCAAATGTTAAATGAGCCTGGCCAACGATACGAGACAAGTGATACTTAGCAGATTTTACGGCTGCCTCCCACAAACCCCCGAAGTGAGGCGCGTTGGGCGGTATGAATGACCATGACGTTTCTTGGTCGCGAAGGAAATCCTTAACGTTTGTCTGAACTTGCTCGCTGGCGACAAAATCATAGAGTTCCTTTATTTGCTTATTTGCACCAACGAAGGTCGTTCCGTTATCGGAGTAAATATTGACTGGCCTCCCTCTTCGCGATATAAATCTTCGCAACGTGGCTAAAAAGGCATCCGAGGTGAGGTCGCTTACTAGCTCTATGTGGACTGCCTTCGTGGCGAAGCAGACGAATATTGAGATATAAGCCTTACAAATGCGGGCATTACGGCGCTTGCCCTCTTTCAGGTTTACCGGACCGGCGTAATCGACGCCGCAGTGTGAAGACGGTTTGGAGATTGTAACGCGACCACTGGGCAATGAACCCATAATTGCTTCTGATTGCGCTGGTTTAGCCTTAAAACACGCTACGCAATTTCGAGTGATTTTTCGCGTGGTAGAGCGCAAGGAAAGAGGCCAAAATTGTTGCCTTACAAAAGCCATAGTGGTTTGAGTTTCTGCATGCTTATTGCGTATATGCTCGCGGAGAATTAGGCGCTTTGTTAACTCGTGTTTGGCTGGGAGAAGAATGGGATGGCGCGCATCGGCGCTTAGCTCGGAATTTTTTAGTCTTCCACCCACTCGTAGCAGTCCGTCCTCGTCTAGGAAGGGAGACATGGTAAGGAGTTTGCTAGATGCGTTGATAGGTGTGCCCTTGCTTAGACTTTGATATTCTTCAACAAAGGCGTGCCTTTGGACCGTTCTGCAAGCGACCTTTAGAGCGTACGACATCTCGCTGGGAGAGACAAAAGTAGTTAGGCTATCCGGACGCGATTTTTTGTGCATTCTGATACAAAGAGCTAGTATGCGGAATACTTTGTATAGGCTGGAATATTTGGCTAGTAAGTCGTCTACTATTGAGGGCTGCATGATGGCTGCGGCTGCTGATGTTGCTCGCCTTTCTGGAAGGTCGTCCTGGTGGGGAAACTTGCCACTTGGTCAGTGGTCTTCATTGCGTTGTAGAAACGCAGGGCCTCGCCACCACAGGGCTGCGCTTGGCAGGTCTCCGGGGTCGAGTCCGCGCGATAGGATGTCGGCTGGGTTGTCGGGAGAAGGAACGTGTCGCCAACTTTCGGGACTCGTTAGGCGTTGCACTTCCCCAACCCTGTTTGAAACGAATACGGACCACTGGCGTGAAGGTGATGCTATTCAGTTTAGGGCGATTGTGGAGTCGGACCACAAGAATATTTGACTGCTTGATAACTCGAAGGATTCGGAAATCTTTTTTAAGAGTTGCGCTAGAAGTACCGCCGCGCACAATTCTAGTTTGGGTAGCGTAATCGTCTTTAATGGAGCTACTCGAGATTTGGAGCATAGTAGTTCGATACGGTAATTCCCTGCGCCTTTGCCGGTGCGAACGTAAAAGCAGGCGCCGTAGGCCCGCTGACTTGCGTCGCAAAACCCGTGTATTTGAACCGACTGGGGGTCTGTTGCAAATTTAACGCGTCTGTGGACTTGTATTTGACTTAACTTGGATAGGCCCTGTTTGAAGGCCATCCAGCGAGAGTGGAGATGCTGAGGAACTGTCTCGTCCCATTCGACACCTGCTTGCCAAAGCTCTTGAAGGATTAGTTTAGCACTAGTGATCATCGGGCCGAGAAGGCCGAGTGGGTCGAACAATTTGGCTACTTCGGAGAGTATACCGCGTTTGTTTACTATGCTTGAATAATCTTGGGTTTTGTATGAGAATTGTAGGACGTCTCGTGCCTGATCCCACTGGATCCCTAAGATTCGCGAATCGGTGCTGTTAGTTATAGCGACCGTGTTGAGATGCGGGTTATCCACGTTTTCTAACAATAATGAACAATTTGAGGCCCACTTGCTAAGCTGAAAGGCCCCCAAGCGTAAGAGTTGCACGATTTCGTCCCGGATTCGCTTCGCATCTTCTATCGTATCCGCCCCGGTAAGAATGTCGTCGACGTAAAAATCACGTTCAACATGCTTGGATCCCACCGGGAAGTCTGTTCTGAATAGTTCGGCCAAATGTTTTAGGCATCTGGTAGCCAAATAAGAGGCCGAAGAAGTGCCGTAAGTGACGGTTATTAACTCGTATGTTTTCACGCTTGAGTCCGCATTATCTCTCCATAAAATTCTTTGGAGATGTGTCTGTGACGGTGCTACTAATATTTGCCTGTACATTTTCACTATGTCGGCAGTGAAAACGTAAGCAAACGTGCGGAAACGCATTAAAATTGAAGCTAAGTCCTGTTGAACGACCGGCCCCACAATTAAGACGTCGTTAAGCGATAAACCCGAACTGCTCTTACAGGACGCGTCAAAGACAACTCGGAGTTTGGCCGAATTGTCAGAATTTTTATATACGCCATGATGGGGCAGGTAAAAGGGAGTTGAATCCTCACTTGGTGGAACGTCTATTTCCATCATGTGATTCAAGGACTCGTATTCGCGTAAGAAGTGTTCGTATCGCTCCCTCAAAAGTGGATCGCGACTGAGGCGTTTCTCGAGATTTAACAATCGCTTCAAAGCGACCTCCCTGGAATCCCCTAGTCTATGAACCATATTTTCCCTGAGCGGGAGCTGTACCACGAATTGGCCTTGTGGCGTTCGGGACACGGTTTTCAAAAATTGTTGTTCGCAATAAGATTCCTCGGCAGTGAGAGAGACTGACTTGTTTGTGACTTCTTCTTGCTGCCAAAAGTGGCCTAATTGCTCATGTAATTCCGCGTTGGACACGATCGCGTGTAACGCCTGGACACGTTTAGTTAAAGCCGACGAGTTATTTAAGCGACCCGCCAGAATCCAGCCCAATCGCGTTTTCTGTAACGTGGGATGTTTGTGTGAAGCCTTGATCTGACCGACACACATTAACTCCCAAAAGAACTCGGCACCGAGCAAGATGTCGATATCTGCGGCTTTATGGAAGTTGGGATCGGCTAACTTGAGATTTCGCGGAATGTCGAAGTTATCGCGCTTTAAGTTGTACGCGGGTAGTTTACTTGTAACTTGATCTGTCACGATGCAACTAATGTCGGCGTAATATGAATTAATCAGCGAATGAATTCTCAAATTTACGACTTGAGACGAATTGGTAACTGATCCGTTAACTCCGGAAATGGATACGCTTTGATTTTGAGGCTTTAAACCTAGGATGTTTAACAATTTTCTAGAAATAAAATTAGCTTGTGAGCCGCAGTCTAATAAAACGCGGCACTCTACTGGTATGTCTTGACTGTTATTGACGCTTGCGACGGCTGTAGATAGCATAATGTGATTGTCGTTTGAAAGATTCGACGCGTGCGTGACTGTCACGGAAAAAGTTTTTGATTCGTCAACTTCATTTTCTTTACTGGAACTTGAATCACGGGGTTCCGAGCTGCTCGAAAGGTGAAGAAGAGAATTATGTTTGGCAGCACACGTTTTGCAAGTGCCTGACGCACATTGATTAGCCGCATGCGATGTAGATCTTAAGCAATTGCCGCAAAGCTTTCGTTTGCGTACTTCGGGGAATCGGGAGAGCTAAAAAATTCTTGCAGCGATAGATAGAATGCTCACCGTTGCAATAGCTGCATTTGTACTTGACGGCCGCGTGACAGGAAGATTGATGCTTAAGGTTGGCCTTGGAATTGGTTCCGATAGATGATTTGCCCGTCGCTTCTAGGACCTGACATTTATGAGATATGAACTCGAGTAATTGTTTCAATGTGGGAGGATCCGTACCTGTCAAAGACGTTTGCCACTCCCG